CTGTAAGCTAGAGGGTTTGTAATGCTGAAAATTGGTATCAATATCCTTGGTGGGCATAGCACAAATAGCTCATCGTGTAACTTTGTGCTTAACAAAAGAAAACCAAAAAAATTATTATAAACCTAATGAAGAATTGAAAGTTTACTGAAATTTGTTTATAAATACATGTGATATTTATTGATATTGTTTTAGTCCAATAGTTCCTAAGGAATTATATAATATAAATTATAGACAATATATATGCATGTGTACACAGTTAGACAGGTTTATTAATCTCTGATAGCTCACGCTATACCTTGTGCATACATATTGACATTAAAGTTATATTTTGCGTACTATGATGTATGATACAAGGAAAATTCATTAAGAACTATTTCGTGCGTGCAGCATGTTGTTTTAGTTTGGAAAAAATAATCTCAATAAAACTTGGATCAATATATATACTGCAAGAGTTTAATTTCTCTTTGTGTTTCTTGGCATATTTGTCTACATGTAAAACGCTTCTTATTTTAGTTGATACCTGAGTATATACTAAGTTAAAGAAATTTAACACGTTTAATTATCTCCAAGCTTCACAACTATAATACAAAGTTTCAGCATGTTCATTTAATTGCCCAACTAATAATCTGACTCGTTTTTGCCGTATGATTTGCATTTTTAATTTGTTTTTGAAATTAGATCCAGTTCTAAAAAGACGTTAATATCAAGATTAAATTTTTCCTTATGTATTTATTTGTTGAAAGAATTTGTACTTATGGCAAAGTTTTAAGACTTTTTGCTGCCGTCTCTAATCTTGAACTGCTGACCAGAGGGAAGATACTGAGTCAGCAGCACCCTACAGCCCACCATTCACGCTAAGGGATTGACTGTCACTCTTCTAACGCGCCCACAGCTTAAAGTGAAGGGGATATTTTATGATATCTCTCAGATTCTAATGATACTCGCCAACTCCGAAATAAAGGGCTCTATCACGGGGTAACACGTCTCTTGTTGAAATAAAGTGATATCTTTGGACCAACATGAATGCTGTTTTTGAGTATTAAGAGTGTTTAGGATGTTGAGTGGTAAAATGCTGATTCGTGTTTTTTATTAATAGTGAAAATGTACATTTTATCATATGTTACCAGTTTTTAAACGATAACAATTTTACTATATTTCCACTAATGATTTAGGTCAGTTTGAAAACATTAATAGAGCAGGTTATCAATAATTTTATAACACATACTACAGTTTTTTTTTTCACTATCAGTTATCATATTAAGTACGCTCATAATGAAAGAAATCCTCAATAATGTGATTTAAAATTAGCTATTGCAATAATGAAATGGAAACAAAGATAACGAATAAAACGTTTCGTTCTGTAGACATCTAAAATAAATCTTTTGTGTTGTCTCTTGTTTAAAATACTTAATTAATCTAAAATATGATGAAAAGTATTAAGAACTTGTTGATAAATCAGCATGCCAACGTAAGTTTTCTTGATAGGCTCTAACTTTTATTTCTAAATTGAAAAAAAAATCTGTCCAATTTGGTTGATCTGCTACTCTCTAGAACAGAGGGGGCTCACACCGAATATAATTTTTAGCATCTATATAATATGTTATGAACATCTTTTTCTTTTCTTCCTTATTATCATATTTTTTGTGTAGTTTCTACAAGACTTATATATTTAGCAACACTTGCCTCGTTCAAACATCAATTTGATGCAACAGCGCTATCTTGGGCGTTCTTCTTTGTCCTAAAGCCTCTCGTTTTAGCTTGATTTGTGAGTCAACACTGCCTCATAACGCTTATGACCTAGAACAGCTGGTAACTTTTTTAAACAAAAAATTTTATGCAGTTAGTAGTTAGTATAGTATTGCATGCGAAATTGACATACATTTTACAGAAATGAGGAAGAAACAAGACAATTGTACGTTTCACAAATACATCATGATGGCGAAACCATGGTCGTAATAAATGATGTATTTGTGAAACGTACAATTGTCTTGTTTTTTTTTCCTCATTTCTGTAATTATGGAGTTTCACCAAGTACCGACGATTTCAAGTATAAATTACACACACGTTTTTATTAACCAGTAAGAAAAATTTTCAAGTGGTATCGATTAAAATCATTTGGTCTCTGCAGTTATATTAATAAAAAAATGTTTGGAAATTGTCGTTTCTTATTTTTAAAAAAAGAGGGGATATTATCATTCACTTTTGCCTTTGGGGTCAGCTATTCAAAAATATTGTTACTGGAGTCACTACACTATAACAGACAAACACAGCTTTACCTAAAACTCAACCTATCTCAGTTGAGAATGTCACGATCTCTTAACTGGAAAGGTATTTCTTTCAGTTGCCTATTTTTGCTTCAATTGCTCTGTGTAACTTTATCGTGTGGCTTCCTCAATTCCATTTTTTTAAAATTAATATTTTCGTTAGTTTTCGTTAACTCTGTTCTACTAGCCAGAGTATATAATTAATAATGGTCTCCAGCCATTATTAATCTCAAAGTGGGTTCCTCGTCATCGAAAAGGTATTACTGTTTCTATAGTTTTTTGAATAAACAGCATTCACAATACATTTATCTTTAGATCTAGCAGTGACACAAAATAAGCCTTTCGTTATCGTGTTGTCTTCAGGGTACAAATAAGTGCGTTGTTTAGTTGTTTCTTATGTTCGCGTTTACTCGCGAATCCCAATTTTAAACGCAAGGAAAATCAATTCTATGTTAGTTATTACATTTAATGAGAAAAAATACTGTAATGGGTCCATTTGTTTATTATAAAGTTACCAATTGAAGATAAAATAGAAAACAGAGTAGTATCGATATTTTTCTTATTTTAGATGAGAGCAAAACGACACGTTTATTAAATTTCTGAAGCTGGCGAGAAGATAATTATATAAAAATTTCTTGTCTTTAGTTACGTTGTTAGAAAGGTGTCAAACACACACACATATTGTAATTTCTTCAAGTAGTCCTTCATTGTTAAACACATTATTTTTTAAATGTTTTTTCTTCAGGAAACAAATATCTTTCAAAACTCAACTAGGCAATGAGTAGCTTGCGAAAATATAATGTTCTTAGAATAAGAATAAAAAACAAACCATTTTTTTTATAGTAATTTTCTTATGCAAGTGTCTATTTTTACTTAATTTTTAGACACCTCCAACAGCTTTTGAAAAAAAAAAGTTTGATATTTTACACGTGAGTTCTTAACCTCAGTGGCACAGTGGTATGTCTGCGACTTACAACGCTAGAATCCGGGTTTCGATACCCGTGGTGGGCAGAGCACAGATAGCCCATTGTGTAACATTGTGCTTAACTTCAAACAAACACAAATTATCTTTGCTTTTCTCAATTCCTTAATCAGATACTCACTGTTTTAGATCTAAAAAGATGTCTGCCATTACATGTAGTTGACTGATTGCTGAAAGTAATATTTACTCTGGAGCATAAAACCCCGAAAATAGAGAACTTAGATACATCAACATTGTTAGAGTTTATTTTTTGTTCATTTTAACTGTTCTTTTCAATACAAGTTCGCTATCTTTTACTAAAAATAAACTCTCTTCCTCGCTGCTCTTCACGAGAAAATGGTCTTTTGTAAGATAACCATTTGTACTATAAAGAGTCAGTTTTGTGTCACTGGCAGAACGTGTATGTCTTTCCTTTTAAACCTACGTATAAAAATGAACGCCTCCTAAGGCATTTTTCTTCTTTACAACAAAAAAATAAAAAAGGAGTAAGGGAAGTAGAACCGAGCTGTCATTTGTCCATGTGTTCTTCCGGTTTCTTACATTTAATCACCCTTTACAATGTGAATGTGTTCAAAGATGAAATATGCTTACGTTTCCTTGATATTATTCTTAATTCCTAATTTTCTTTTACTACTACTAAATGTTCGTTCTGATGAGTGAACAGAGCAATCTACGTTTGTTGGTTCTCGCTTTGTTATATTCCAAGTGACACAGTTTTGCTTTCAAAATTCGCTCTTACTTTAGTTTATGTTGTATCAACAAAATTGTCTATCTTATTCTACTTTGTTGTGTAGTAAAACGTTATTTTGGTAAGTATCGTTGATGCAATGAAGATAGTTTTATGAAGCCTTTCCTGTGATTTTGATCCAGAAAATGAAGCAAGAATGCAAACTTATTTCTTGGTCTATACGTATAAGTATTTGTGAATGCTTACTAGTGAAATATTGATAGAAACACCAAGCTCTTTGAATGAAAGGAACGGAAAACCTTTGCGGATTTTCACCGCTGTTATATAAAATCTTACAAACTTGTTGAAAATATGATTACTGGTTGCATTGTGAAATATAGTTTAAGGTGTGGTCTGAAAAATTAGTCACGGTTAACGTATAGAAATTTTATGTTCTATTTTCTTTCAATCGTTTAATAATTAAAAGTTCGTGCATACACCATCTGACTAATAGGAATAATTAAATCAGAAAATCTAATGAATGAAAGTAGCGAATTTTATTCTTTGAACTTGGAGCTGACCAGTGACCATGGTCTTCGATCGTCAAGGGTCCATTGAATAGTTGGCACATAAATGTGGACTCTTAAATGAAGTTTTTATCACTTATAGTCCTAAAGTTACTGCATGTTGTGCTACGTTTGTATTTGATAGCTGTTTGCCATGGTAACTATGGTCAGACAAAGATGACACTAAGCAAGTTAACGTAATTCGTTTGTTAAAAAAGTAAAGTATTTAAAATAAGAAGATGATTAATATTATCAATAAACGAAAATAATAAGAGTGAAATATAATTAAAAGAAAAACAAACAAGCTTATCTTTTTATTGTTTTCATTTAAAACAGGTGTCAGTCGTACCTCTACTAATACGTTTCTCTTGAACGAGTAGTAAAAGAAAGCAAGATTGTTGGTGTAAAACAAGTTTGTGCATTTTTTTCCCGTCTAAAGAATAAAATCAGTGCTAAAAGATGTGTATAATTATTACTAACCAAATATATGATAATTTTTGAGGGTATATTCTTCCTTTTAGAAAGATCGAGAATCAACCAAGACTGGCAAGGTTGTCCGCCAAGGATCTACAGATTTATCCAAACGTGGAGAGGTTGTAAGTAGATAACACCAGTGGGAAATGAACGTACAATAAACTATACTTTTATTTGTATAATTCTTAGCAACTACAAGGAATGTGTTTAGTTAGTGAGTGTTTCTATTTGTTAGCTATTGACTAATTAATTACAATGGTGTCTAAGGGTAGGTATAACTTATTGTAATATTGGTATTCTATAACGGCGTTGTTTTTGTTATTTCAAATATGAAACCTACGGGAATAACAATGAAATAATACAAAAAAACAACAACAACTATAAAACAAAAACACTATAAAATTAAACTCCCTCTGTAGACGTGTCTTTAACACACAGTTCTCCCCACCTTTTATAGCCCACCACTATTTATTTAAATCATTAACATACTTATTAATTTGTTTGAATTGTATTTCTCCTGCCTAAATGGATAAGGGTGAAGAGACGTTATCCAATCTGGGTTTGAGAAATATTTCTAACAGTTAGCAGAGTGCTGTGAAAAAACAAAAAACAATTGGTGTATTAGCATGGTAACGTACTGCACTCGGCGTTTTTGATTAGAGGGTTGAAACAACAATTCTCGATCATTATGGTACCTGATCTCGCTAAGCATAATATATGTCTTGTAATAAATAAACTACTTGAAGTTATCTGTGGCGGCAACCCTGGTTATCCACGAAAAACAATCATCATGTACCGGCGAAAGGAGGTTGGATGTAGTTATATTTGGTTAAGACACATACGCTTGTAGTCGGTGAGTTATTTGTTGTTTTAGGGTATTTTCATAAAAGACAGGAGTATGTAGCAGTTGAAATACGTTTAATTATGATTTTTCAGAGTAATTCAAGTATAAAAATGTCAAGAATATTTTCTCGGACAAAATAAACTAAAAGTTATTCATTTACAATTTATAAACGGAAATAAAACAAATGCTTATTCAAAACAACATGAAGCATATATTGCTATTCTATACAATAATAGAAAATACAAAAATTCAATAATACGGTAATATAGATTATAAAAGCTAGTTTTTAAACACAGGGCTATATTCTAAATGATATTTTTCTCAGGATAAAAATTATTGATTTTTTTATAAAACATTATATAATGATTCGAATATATATATATTTAGGCACTTCATCGGCTTTTTGTATTAAGCGTTAGAGTGAAAAAATTCACAGTTTTATTATTATTAATTAAAGCAAGTTTTTGAATTCCTTTCTTATTAATGCGAAAACCCCTGAGGGAATATAATTCCAAGCACCTACATAAGCTTATACTTATCTCACCCCCCTCCCCCATACATACACACACTTATAAGAAATAAACACAAACGTAGGTTCATGGATTACAATTTTATTTTCTAAACGTTTGCAACTTTTTAGATATATATGATAAATAAATTCACTCTGTATTATGCATAACTATCATTGCGGAAAATCGAGATAAAAAAAAATTAAAGAAATTTAGTTTGCAGAGTTAATTGATCAAACGATGTCATAATGGATAAAGTACGTAAATTAACGTAAAACATAAACCTTTTGTGGAACCTTATAACAATAGTTCGTGTAATTATCTTAATCTGAACATACACTACGATTTATGATTCTGACAAACGGTAGAAAAAGTACAAAATGATGTTTCAGTCTTCATAATCCTTACATATGTATGACACGAATCATGTTAGTAGTAAGCTTTTACATTGATAACCCTAAAGCACGATATACTAAGTAACTCGGGTTGTCTAAAGCCGAGTACATTATGTATACTATACGTGTACATAGTATTCATAATAAGAGTTATTACATGGAGTACACGCTGGCTGTAACAGGAGTTACAGGGCTTAACTAATAAATGCATAGTTAACATTCCTAGAAATCAACTCATTTAGGGAATAAATAAACTGATCACCTACATACATCATGACGTATTACCAATATATTATAGTTTATTTTAGAACCTTAACCACTACCTTTCTCCACCAGCCATAGCTAGGGAATGGTTTTGGCGTTGGCTTATTTTTTTGCGCATGACTAACGCATACTTTCAATGCATCTGCTTTAGTCATTTGCAGACGATGAGCATTGTTAGCTTATTGACTTATGAGTGTTTGACCAAACATAACACAAAACTTTAGCACAACGCAGTAGTGCTCTTTCACTACGTTATTGTGTATTGATTTTATTTTTCAAATAAAATTCTTGTTAATAACCTACGATATTAATTATTAAATTTTCCGACAATTAAGATTATAAATAGATATAGAGGTATTGGTTGATGGGTAATGCTGACAAGTACGAAATAATACCCAGCTACGTCATGCATTCAGATAAATTAAAAGGATGAAATTAATTGAAATGATAATTAGTTTTTAAATAATTCATCTTTTAAAGAAGTATAAAAACTAATTAAATATGATATCTTGCGCTTTCTATAAAATACAAATTGAGTGCAAAACTTCTCTCATTTTAATTAAAATAGTAATTTAATACTTTAATTGAAAAAATGTTTTTCTTTAGGTGTTTGTTTGTAGTTAAGCACAACGCTACACAATGGGCTATCTGTACCCTACCCACCACGGGTATCGAAACCCGGTTTCTATCAGTGTAAGTCCGCAGACATACCGCTACGCCAATGAAGGGTAATTTCTTTCGGTGTGAATGAAACATATTATATCATTAAAATGTAAATATAAAAAAAATCTTTATTACTTTTAGGATTTTACTTCCCGTTTATTATTATTAACGTACTTATTATCATAATATA